CCTACACTCCTTACAAAAAGGACTTTTTCAAAGCGGAATTTTTATATGAAATGTTTACTATCTTGTAAGAGCGTCGATCCCAAATCTCGTGGATCGCTAATTCCAAATATGCCTTCGATGTCCGCGAAGTGCTTCCTGGGGGGGGGGGGGGGGAAGAAATACAAGAATTTTTTGAGGCAAAAATTCAAGGGTTTGGCTAAGGTAAAAACAAGTGATGAGGTCTTTCCGGCGCTTTCAAGAGGTAATGACTAGCAAAGGCTTATTGAATTAAGAGTGTAAATCTCAAAAAGCGCCCTGGCGGCAACCATGGCCCCGTTTAGCACAACACACGACAATACGACCCACCGGTGGGTCGTAAGGTTCCTGAAGCTCTACTTCTGCCAGTATACGATGGAATTCTACGGGGTTCTGGCACATGAATGGGGACACCTTGGCGAAGCTCCAGCCAGAATGGTCCGAATTCGGGATACTGCAAAGAATGTTGCGGTAGGCATACCGTAGATAGAGAGAAGGCACAGACTCTAGCTCAAATTTTTCGCAGAATTGCTGTTATTGAAAATTCAAGTTTAAATACACGAGACTGATGTCAGCTCATCAAAAATTATCGATTTTATTGATTTTACTTATTCTCATTGTTCATCCCACGAAGCCCAAATCTTATATATATATATATATATACAGGGTGTCCCAAAAGTATGTATCGAACGTTTGATCGTTAATAACTCTCTTCCCAAGAAGTCTTTTGCCTTGCTTCAGGTACCGTTTTGTAGAGCTGGCTTCAACTTAGATTTGCAGTATAGAATGAATCACTCATTTCTCTTCATTACTGTAGGATTACGGTAGAAACTTCAAGGAGGGTTTTAAGCAATGAAAGGCCATATTTTGCCCCAGAAAGGAAACAAAACAGCCTTAAAACTTTTACACTAGGCTAATTAGAGTTGCTGATTATAACTGTAAAGTTCCCAACTTATTATGATGCTTCATTGAAGAGTTATGCCAGGTAAGAAGTAGCGGCCATTTTTTCAATGTTCCTAAAAAGTGGGATTGCACCGTTTAGAAAGCTTCGTAATCTTGTGAATAGTTAATTATTGAACTCAGCGTCCATAAAAACCCTATTACACAAGTTTTCACGATTTTTTGAAAAATTTTGAAACGGCAGCTTTTTTCACATTAACACCATATGTTTCAAGTTTCTACCGTAATCCTACAGTAATGAAGAGAGATGAATGATTCGTTCTATAGTGCAAATCTAAGTTGAAGCCAGCTCTACAAAACGATACCTAAAGCAAGGCAAAAGACTTCTTGGGAAGAGAGTTATTAACGATCAAACGTTCGATACATACTTTTGGGACACCCTGTATATATATATAGGTTTTTTAGCATGCTGATTACGAAAATGATAGTCTCAAGTTCTAATACCGCCTTCTTACATCAGTTTCTTAATTCTTTAAGAAAATTCTACTGTGCTGTTACCGTAGTTCCATTGTGAAAAAGTAGTAAACAAAATGGACACTATAATCGTGATCAGCACGTGAAGTAACCCCAAAACACAATTTTCCATGAAGATCCATGATGTTGGGCTTGTATAGGACTCTTGTAACCTTACCGTATACTGCGAAAAACTGAAATAAATCATATTTTCGTAATCAGCGCCTTCGATAACCCTTGTGGGGAAATTCTCGGAGACATGTTTTGAATTTCTTCCAAAAAAGGCTACCGTTTCGGACAGTTCGACCCACGGGTGGGTCATAATTTTGACAAAGCGAAAAAGACTCCTGTCCAAAACGGCAGTAATCGAAAAATCGCCCTTGTCGTGAATGTGTTAAGCTTACAGACTACAGTTCTGGATGATTTTTCTGTAGCTGCGCTTCAAATTTTTGCTTCAAGAAGAAGTTTCCATACCCCCCCCCTACCAAAATCGCTTTGCACGTAACAAAAGCAGGCTTGGAATCAGCTTTTCATGCTCTTCCTTTTAAGGTCTATATAAGCCTGCAATCCCATGATCCACGCGCATATCTATACAGCAGACTCGTGAGAGTTTCTTCAATGCGGAAGTAGAAGCGTGTCTAGTCATAGCTGTAAAAAAAATAATCACGCTTGCCAATTGCCTTATCTGCAAAATCAAGCCCGCGTGATTGTGCGAAGTTGGGCATTCTTAATTTTACCACGTGCGCGTAATGTGAGATCAGAGAATCCAACTGACGTCTGAGTGCAAAGAGCAAAAAACTATTATTCTACTTTCAACTTTGAACCAAAGACCGTAAATTTAATGCATTCACTTGATGAAGAGAAAACTTAGTCTTATGCTTCGTCAAAATATTGAAATGTGATTTCCATTTCACATTTGGATTTATGAGAAGGAATTGACAATACGAGAATGCTGGTTGGACTAATTCTTGCCTCCCATTTCAAAAGTTATCATAGCATGACCTTGCTATTTCATGTTTCATGCAAAATTTACAAGAAAATCTCAGAATAATGGGGACTCCACACTTTCTGGAACTGTCAAACCAGATAAAAAATACAGCCGAAAGCTTCAAACGTATCCGATGTCGTTTTACCAAGGTCTCGCAATAATTTAATGTCGAACCTTTGCATTTTAAGGCTTTTGCTCGGTTTAATGCCTTTTTTTCGATTTCCAAATGAGAGCTTGTGAAAAATTTCCAAAAACTCCAGAGAGGTCAGTTGGAGAACGCATTTGCACTAAAAATGGTTTGCTCTATTCTCAGATAATGCTCCTCGCTCAAAATGAAAATTGTAACGGAACAATTAATTAAAATAGAAGGCAAAGCCGGCCAGTTCAAGATTTTTGGGGATTTTTTGTGAATCCACCGGTTTTGCCGTCTGCAACTCTAACTATGTGGATAGCCGAAAGCCCAACCTGGGCTGACAGCTGGTACAAATCTGTGATGTTGTAAAGTTGCGTGTTATGTCGCAAATGTCCACAGTCCTCTATCCACTATTTGTCGCAACATTTAGCATTCATGAGAAAAGGAAGCTCGACATTCTCGGAACTAAAAAGCAAAAAGCGGAAGATAAGCTTCGCTAATTACCGTTCAAAGTACTTGTTTATCATTACTCGCGGTTTGCCGAAAGGCTGAAATAGAGGGTAAACGTTCTCATCACTCTGACTCAACCTACAGTACACCATATGATACATGCGCCTTATTCTGTACTACCCCTGACTGTATCGTCTCTGTGATCAATAGTAGTTGATTAACAATGGCTTCATAGGAGAAATTTCAGGTTTGAATTTGGGTAACTCGAGTTTCTGCACTGCCTCAAAATTTAGAACATCTAACATGATTGTATATAAGATCATGTGGATTTCTGTGACAAAGTATTTTTGCGTAATACTGGCACCACATAATTTTGGCAAGGAAATTATAGCTGAATTTTCTGGAAGTTTGTTGATATATCAGGTTGTCCCATAAGTTCCGTCCAATTTGATTCTGTCCCTCAGTAACTCATACACTTCTTGTTTCTAAACAGGCATCCGGATACATTTCGCTAAAACAGAGCAAGCTCTATGAGATGGTTTTCTTGCTTTCGCATCAGCTTCAATCCACCGCAAGTTTAAAGCGGGAAATTAGAAGGATTCATTCTCCCGAAAAAGCAACAAAAAAATCAAACTCGTCCAAAAAATCCTCTAAAAATCCCAACTTGCTCACGCGTGCCCTTTCCACATGAGACCTTTATACATACCATTTGCTATATTATTTCTCGGTTAGAAGTTGTGAAAATGAAAATTTTTATGCTTTTGCCAAATCGATGTTGTGCTGTCACCACTTAAGTAATTGTATATTACAAGTCTCTAGAAGTACAGAGTGAATTTTCAGCTTTTTACAAGTTTTAGTTTTCGAGTAATATGGATTTTTTTAACGCGGAATGCCCAACCAATGGCTGTTTTACTCGATATTTTTCGAGGACTAAAGCTTGTAGAAAACTGAAAATTTACTTTTCAACTCCTAGAGGCTTGTAGTATACAAGCCTTATAAAAGCCTTAGCCCAATAATTTACGCGGGAACAGTACAGCATCAATTTGGCAAGGGCATGAAAATGTTTGTTTTCTGTTCTAGCCAGGGAGAATAATACAGCAATGGTATCTATAAACGTCTTATGTGAAAAGTACACTGAAACAAGTTGGGATTTTTGCCGGATTTTTTGGACAGAGGTACGACTTTTCCTTAATCTTTCGGGCGGTGGAATTTCTATAGTTTTTGGCTTAAACTGCGGGATTGGAGCTGATGCGAAAACAAAAACGCGATTTTGTATAGCTTGCTCTGCTCTATGGTAACTGGAATCCTGTTTACAAATGAGAAGGGTATGAGTTGTTGCGGGTCAAAGACGAAACGGCCGGAAATTACGGGACAACCTGATAGAATCTTCTGATTTGTGCCCTCACTTTATTGTGTAACAAAATAGAGTGTAAAGTGAGAAATTCTTCTCCTGAGGAATTTTGCACATATGGCTCATCGTGAGAATTTCAAGTTACTACTATTTCATTCCCTACCTTCGACAAAAATTAAAAAATTAGTTTCTATCCTAGCGATCAAAAAGCGCGATTTGATCTTGGTCGAAATTAAAGTAAATCGCAATTTGGTCAAGATTTCAAGTTTGATTTCAAGCCCTGATGGGAATATGAACGATTTTCAATGCAAGACACAATTTACTACTTGTAAGACAAACCTTTAAATAGTTTATGAGGCTGCAAGTAAACTAACAAATCATAGACATTTCAAAAGTTATCAGACTACCACGGTACCGGTCTGAATGCAGACTTCTCGAAAACAGTTTTTGGGATCACACCACATCAGCGAAGCTGAAGATTGCGAGTACAAAAATAGCTCCGCATATTTTATAGCGAATCCGTGTGGACCGGGAAATGGCGACACTATGGTCTTCAGTTTATCATGTACTATTAATACACACCGGGAGCACTACACGACCCGGGCTCTCTTATCGTCGCCTTGTTGTTATCGCTGCACGCACTGTAATCTATGTCTACAGCATCGTTCAGACACGGCTGCATTCTCGTTTTTGCGGTTGCTTCAGGTATATTTTTCATTTTTGAGTTTTCAAACTTATTCAATCATTTTTAATTCGAATTTTTCTTTCCAGCTATCGCAATTATAACTCATCCAGAAAATGCAAGTGTCCTCGATGTTATTGACAAAATCACCGCAGATTTTAGGGATTGGGAATGGAAGCGTGGGCAATTCTTGAGATATTCGAAAGGTGAAATATCCGCTTTCCATATAAGTTTCACTGTTCAAATGTTGCACTACAATTTTATTTTTAATTACAGATTACCCAAAAGGTTGGCCCGGTTTCGACTGTCCCATACCCGATTCCCGAGTACCACCTCAAGATGTTCATCATCTTGCTCCCTGGGATATTTCAGTTATTGGAGCACTAGGAGATTCGCTGACAGTGAGTACCAAGAGTTCTCATTACCGTTTGAAATTAGATCAACGGCTTTATCCAGCCGTTCTTTCAAAAATTGATGTTTTGGAAGATCGTTAAATACGCATAACCTTAAAAATACCATTTTAAAATGCCTACCGTATAAGTAGATTGACTAGATAAAAGCTAAAAGCATTCTGCTTGCTCGCACGTAGGGACTGTAAGGGTAGAAGGTTTTCTAGTTAAGGATCAAAAATTCTTCTTTTTTACTCTCGAACGCCTAATTGAAATTTGTAGGTAAAGGATCCTTTTTTGATTTTTTGTATTGCGGTTACGTTTTTGATTTATGTGCAATCGCAAATAATTACCATCCTTCAAGGAAATTACTTTCTTCCAATCAATACCTTCAACTCGGAAGTTTTTTACAACCTATAGTGAAAATTTTATTGTTCTTGAGGGTAATGTTAAACTATTGCAAAATTCATCATGTCCCATGAAGGCTCTGTGCTAAAGGAAAATTTCCTCAAATTTCTATGAAATGTTTCTGATGAGAACGAGAACCTAATTTATCAGAGGTTTCTCTCAACAATAATCACTTTGTTATTCAGAAAGAAAGCGAGAACGATTCAGATCATTGCAGGCCGGACGAGCTGCCGGTGCCGAGCAGATTGGCGAGCTGCTGTCAGACTACCGCGGAATGTCCTTTGCCACTGGGATGGACAGGAATCTTACGGAACAAGCCAGCTTATTCAGTGAGTTAAACTGAAATTTCTTCTTGAAAATGGCTTCTTCCAAGTGCAAGGAAGAATTTGTAGCTTTTAGATATATTCTCGCAGTTTTCCCCCAACTTGAAAAGCGGAAGTGTTGGAATAGGCTTAGCAGAAGACCCTCTTACAGCAGGCTTCAATATGGCCGTTTCCGGAGCAGTTTCTGCAGATCTACCGGAGCAGGTAACATTATTGGAGCTGCAGCTTCCTCATTTTATTTCACGTCATGCTCCAAACTCTAGGCACTTACATTAGTTCGAAGAATTCGCTCTAATCCCAATGTTGACTTTGACAAAGATTGGAAATTTATCAACATATTCATTGGATCAAATGACTTGTGCACAGTGTGCCTGAATGAGGTTAGTACGTATAGAAAATTAGTCGGTTTCTTCTGATTTTATGGCTTTGAAATTTGCGATTTTTTCGGTCTGTTTTTCAGTACGAAACAGCTTGTCTCTTTTGCATTAACACATTAACGTTTCATTTCATGCAAGAATTTCAAAATTCAAAACCGAAGAGACTTTCCACATCTTAAAGCGCAGAGATAAGTATCGACCATTTTCAGACCAGATACGGACCAGAGCAGTATATATACAACATGAGAAAAACACTGCTATATCTTCGAGACAATCTACCCAGGACCTACGTTAATATTCTTCCACCGTTTCATGTGGATAATCTTCTCGAGACTCACAAAAGTGATAATGCATTCTGTGAAGACTATCATAGGTAAGAAAGAGAAACATTCATTGGATGACACTACTTCACAAATGAAAAAACACCTACGTTTTTTTTGTGAATTTTCGCTAACAGAACTGACCAACTTTCACCTGACAACTAAAGAATTACCAGACATCCTAAACATCCGAATTAAGTAATTAGCTTTGAAATTTTCTGAATCGACTGATCTACCTATTTCCAGTGTTGCATGCCCTTGCATCTACCAACTAACCAAGGAACAACATGTATCGATCAAAAAGCAGTACAACGACGGTCTTGATGAGTTTTTAACTGCTGGGTATCAGACGGAAAATTTTACCGTGGCAATCTCTACCGGATTCGACCTAAATAAACTACCAACATTAGGGGTATGTTTTTTGCAATGCAGATCATTCATATGGTTCAAAGAAAAAAGCGTCCTATTTAACATTGATTTAGGAAAAAATACATTTTTGGACTACCTCAAAACAATAATTTTTTTCCAAAAAACGAATTTTGCTCTACGGCTCTTAAACGGAGAATACTTATAAATCGATTTTTCTGTTTGTTACATCCACTCTTCTTATTATTTTTTTGAACCTGTTCTAAATGAGCGTTTGCAACGAAAAGTAAATAAAGAAATGGAAATGAAAGATGAATCGAGATTTTTCGGGTAAAATGTCCCTCTTGCTTGTTATTTCATCATCCAATGCTTATTTTAGATCCCACGCTCAAACACTCAGTTTTCCAGAACCAACTAAATCTTGTGTTCATCGCACTTGATTGCTTCCATTTCTCCTACATCGCCCATGATTTGGCGGCCAAAGTCATCTGGCAGGATCTTTTCAAGCCAATCGCCTCTAGGAAACCTGTTGATCTCAACGAATATCAGCCTCAGTTATGGACCTGTCCTCCTCAGGTAATTTTACTCTTTCGAATCTGGTTGGAAAAAATGAATGATTTTTTGCAGGATTGTCCTTACCTAAGGACACCATTGAATTCCGAACTCTGTACTAACAGAAACTTATCTATTCCGGTTGTTCCATGGAAGCAATGGGTAAAATACGAGAATACGGTAAGTGGCATTTGCTTAAATTTATTGCATCCATTTTCACCATGGTTATCATAGGTATTTGTGCCATCCATACAAGAAATGGAACGGAGGGCATTCATGGAGGAGCATGGAACAGCATTCATGCTTATGCTCCTAGGTAAGCTCATTTGATCCTTTAGAAACCTGCAGTTTATAGCAGAAGGATATTTCCCTCGTTTTAGCCTTAGCCCTCCTATGCGGCCTACTTTGCCTGGCTGTTGCTTTTTGTTGCCGGAGTAAGAAACGATATCCCATGGAAATAAACGAGCGAACCAAGCTCTTGGATACTAGACAAGTCACATAATACACTCATCATAATAGGTTCTTATGCAAAAGTCTTGTATATATGTATTCATCTCCGTAATTGTTGTTTTGTACGATATGAGAATTAACCTGCAATGAAGTTTGCATATAGAGCGGAATTGAATAAGTTGCAGTTAGTTTTCGGTAGAGAACTTTTCTTATAAGGCAGTAACTTGCATTTTACGCTGTATAGTTGCTATACGATTCTTCGTACGCAGCGACAGACAGGACGCCATTGCGGACGCTGTCTGCGTCTTTCTAATCATGCGCATTTTCACCTCTTCTACCGTCTGCCACCTCTTTCAAGCCCAAACTATCTCGATCGATTGCAACACGTCCAGTCTCTGGTGCGGTGATTGGCCATATATATATGCACTTATTTATTCACTCATATTCTTAGCCCAGGAGACGAAGGTGCGACGTTCAGATTTGTGCATCTTGCAAAAAATTTTCTGATTACCTCATTTGCATCAAGCTACGTGGATACAGTTTGCAATCGATCGATTTATCGATTTTCTAATCTAACCGTTCCCCCACACGTTTCTAATTAGTACGCATAATACTGCTCTATACGTATGCACTTCTTTGCGAAACCTGGCTAGTAGATATTTCCGCTTTTTGCACCAAACAAAACCAGCCGCCTGATCCATGACCGATCACGGTGGACTCTGATAAGAAACTGATTAATGGCCAATAATTCCCAAAATATCCGCAATGTTAAAGGGTTATCACTTTACTCTTCAGCTTCCCGCATTTTGACGAAGTGATCCTTAAACTGTTGCGAAAAGGCATCGCTTTGGCTCACGAGTTTTTTTATCTTCGCTAAAATGTCTTCTTAATCAACTCTCTTATAAGATCTAGCAGGTTTAGTCTGACGGGAGCAGACAGCTATGTGCCTCTACCAGAGCATCAGAATTTGAAAAATTGAATTAGTGCATTTTCGCATAATACAGCATACATTATAAATATCTGACCATGATTACACTGAGATTAGGGGCTTTATTCATTCATTGCACCAGAAAGAATCGAGCTGAGCAAAAAATGTTTTTTTTCCTTCAAGAGGATCTAGACACCAGTGGGTGTCCCAAAATTCCGGGGAAAAAAGGGAGGGTGGCAAAAATTTTTTCAATTTTTGGGGTGCTTCTCAAAGTTTTTGAGGGCCCATAATCTCAAAAGTCTGAAAAAGAGGGCGTGGGGTAAGCCAGGAATCGGAAATATTTTACAACTATTTGAATTTCAAAAAACTTAGAAAATTATTCTAATTATTTGAAAGATTAAACAAGTCACTTGCAGTTTCTATAATCCATGTAAATGAATTTCATAATTTCGCGATCCATTCACAGGGAATGGGCGGCCCCTTCGGCCCGCCACTGCTGAACTCGTATTTCCATAATTCTAACAGTCCTGGATAAGGAATGAGGGTATGCTTAATGAAAATAAAATCTTATTACCATAATATCCTTCTCTTTTCTTGTCCAGAGTCAACTACCCACAACAACAACAATTTATCAATCTGTTGTTTCCACGAAAAATGTTTCAACCTTTGAAATTTCTTATTTGCGCCAATATACAAGCTGACGAGGCAACGAGCAGGGACTCACGGCGCGAATTAGTTGTCTCATGCCAGGTCCAACTGAACTAATGCTGAAGTTATGGAAATTTACTGTACAATAAAAACTCACATAGCTGAGCGTTTATCTCGTAAACGAATGCGATGAAGAATAAAATGGCCAAAAGCAATTTGCTTGAACCCATATCTGAAAGCAAGCTCCTCACATTTTGAATTCAAGATATATCAATACCTCAAAGTTGAATGCATTATTAAAAGCGTGCGCAAAATTTGCAAGGTTTCAGTGATTTTTTTCAGTACATTTCGTTTATTTTCTTCGGCAACCATATATCGCGAATGCATTGGTAAAGAAAAGAAAAGGTGTCTCGAATTTTAATTAGCTTTATACTCGAAAAGGAGAGATGCCTAGCAGTCTGTCAGATATGCTGCAGTAAGGGCTACAGAAATTGTGCCATCCTACCTAGTCACAGATTTGAACCAGACACGTATACTTCATTTTTCACTGCTTATAAACAACTCTGAAAACGACTTCACTCAAGAAATTTTGGAAAAAATCCATTTGGTAATCGAGAAAATTTCAACATAATTTACAATACAGGTTTCGTAGACTTCAAAATTTGACCAAAATTGACCCTAATAATGTTTTAATCATCTTGAAATTAGCAGGTGGTCTTTAAGAAAACGCATCGGGAGTTTGCACTTTGAACGCAATGTACGGGCAACGTTAGTGGAAGGGCGTCAAATTTGGAGTGCAGTGGAAATGCCGATGCTCTGTAAATGGAAGGCCATAACGTTAAACTAGAGGCAAGAAAGTTTCTCAAGAAGTTTACCAAACTGATGAAATCGATCATTGCAATGGATACTTTCGTTAATGGTACTTTCATTACCAGCATGCTTCCCCCCCCTCCCCTCCCCCATCCCCTTTGCGAGCTCACAGCGCCTAATACCAAAGTCTGAAAAAATCGATACAATCGATGAGGCCAGTCTATAATTTTTATGTGGTAGTTGGCTTATCACTTACCCAGCGTGCTATTCAAGCCTTACATCAAAATCATCAAGATATCATCATGATCGATAACAAAAAGTAGCCTACGACAACCGCTCCGTTCTAAAATGTATGTGTGCAAATTTTGGTACAAATCGGTTCTATGAGTTTACAGGACGATAAGACACAAGATAAGTAGAGAGAGAGAGAGAGAGAGAGAGAGAGAGAGAGAGAGTGAGTGAGAGAGAGAAGACATTTAGCGTTGTATATAAATGAAAGATTGTTAGCAGCTGGCTTTTGAGGAAGTGGATCAAGTGAATTAAATATTAGGTGGACTTCCGCTTTGCTATTGGCCAGTTTACCAATTGGACAAATAGCGTAGTGGATTAAGCAGATCGGATCTATCGCGTGGATGCGCAGTTTGATAGCGCGAGCTGGGCAGTCAGTTATTTGGGAACCTCGCTATCGTGGGACATGAGAATCTCATCGACCTCATTTTGGGTGGGCGATGCCTCTAACGAACTTGTAAGCTAACAACCCTTCAATTCTATATCCTTTTTGTTACTTAAACTTGTAGAAAGATCTCAAAGCTACTAGTGTTGAGTGAGAGTTAGGTCTCGGGCATACTTCACGCGATTTCGTGATTTGGCAATATTCCTAATTTTTACAACTCATTGTGGACGCTTTTTAAATGTAGGAAAGTAGTATATCAGTCTACGAGAGTTGTACTAGCTATGCATTTATGATCTACCAGTGTTGGATATGAAGAAATCTGGCATATTGCCAGGTCGTGTGGTGACTGAAATCGCGTGAAGTATGCCCGACCTCACTCGAACCATTTGCATAGTAAGCGTAGCACGGCGGAAGCAGCTTTCATGCTACTCAAAGACCAGCAAAATTGAGTTCTATTACAAGGGCACAGATCAGCAGTATAGGAACGCAACGGAACACGGGTAACTGCGCATCAGCGGTAAAGCGGTTGTGAGACGTGGGAAACTTGTAGTGAGAGGAGCAGGCAGAGTAGAGGTTCGGTACTGAAAGTCGACTGCTTCCTGTAGGGCCCTAACATATCTGTGTTGCGCTGTCACCCCGAGCGGTCGGGTTTCAATTTTCTCTGCAGTTATCAATTCTTTTGTGTTTTTTGGTTTTTTAGTGAGTTTTCTCTTTCCCTTTTCCTTTTGCGTTCTTTTAACACATTCACGACAGGGCCGATTTTTCGATGACTGCCATTTCGGACCAGAGCATATTTCGCAAAATTGAGTTTGCGTAATATTTTCAGGTCACTGATGGACCCTGTGGTCTGAAGTGTTAATCTTTTAGGAAGTACTCGAAGAGGTGTATGCAGAAATTTACTCGGTTCGCCTAAAAAATTTCACCGTGAACTAACAAAACCAAAAACTTCAGAAAACATACGACCCACCGGTGGGTCGTATTGTCCGAAATGGCAGAACACGTACGACCCACCGGTGGGTCGTATTGTCGTGTATGTGTTAAACATTCGCTCGTTTTCGAATATCACTTCTGCCTTAAATTTTCCTTCTCTATCGACCCTTCATTGCGTTTCGCTCCGATCATTGACATACTACTTTGTCTGCTGTCAGAAGAAATCCCAATCGTCTCGGCTACGTTGAAGGGGACAAACGCTCACGCGGCACAGTTATTAGTGGCATTCCGGAATCGAGTAGTGAACCTACCATTCCACAAGCGCTGTGCTCAATTAAAGAGTGTACGGTCGTGGGGGTGTTGGAACTTTAAAAGTAAAATGCCGACCTACCGACTTTACCGATTAGGTAAGCCGAACGCTTCGCGACCTTTGTTAGTTAAAGTAGTGTTTCCCTCACGGTATTCCATGTTTCACGGCTTCCACACCGGGACGCGGGGAACATCTGAACGCACTTGCTAATTCTGGGACACTGAAAAAATTTTTTGCTCAATGCGCGGAGCCTCGCAAACAAGTTGGATCTTCTGCAGTTGTTTTATTTCTGAAAATAAACCAGATTTATTATTTGTGAGTGAATCTAGGTCAAATGCAAAGATTCTTGATCTTGAGATAGTTGATTATTTGCCCTATATTCTGTTCAGAGGCAACGGACGTAATCGCAGGGGTGGAGACATTTGCTTCCTTGTAAAGCAGCTGCACCGAGCGTAATGAAAACTTGTTAAATGATTTGTTTCTTGTAGATGTTGCCCATTAGCTCTTAACCTGCTTTCTTAACTCTTGCAATGGATGATGATGAGCTTACTGATGTTTTGAGCACATATGCTTATGCCTGTGATTATCACAGAGCTTCTTGGTGATTTCAATCTTCAGATTGACTGGTAATTTAGAAAAGCTTGCAACAGCGCTGCCTCTTTTCTAAATATTTATGTTTCCTCTCCTATTCAAACCTCTGTTGTTGAAATATTCAATGCTAATGTTCTTCCGCCGCTTGGCTCTCCGAACCATGAGATCGTTTACTTTTAGAAGCTTGGTGCTCAGCATCGTTGCCCCCTTGCCGGGCTATCACAGTGTTGATTATACTGTATTGTTGATTGTCTTGCTAGTTTAGATTGACTTTCACAATTTGATCGCTACGAGTGGAGTTCTGACGTTTATGAAAGGTTTTATAAAATACTTTATCATGCACTCGGCACGTTTTCCAAAGCTCCGCATAATAATACACTAAATGTGCCGCCTCACATATAAACGTTAAATCAGCAGAATTGTCAACCGTTTTTACAAGAAAATGTGCTCTGATTATATCACTTGCAAAAGTTTTTGGTTAATCGAAAACGTCGTCGTGCACTCACATCATCATCTAAGAGTCTATTTCACTATGTCAGAGGTTGAATGAAGCTTAGCGCTGAACTCCCACGTTGGTGGATAGATGGGGCCACTATCTTGAGTGGTGAGGATAAGGTCAAAATTCTTGTGTCATTTTTGCTATGTTTTTACATCCGATTTTGGCAACCAGTGTAGTTCCAAGGCTTTCGATACGTAATGTATGTCATGACATAGCCTTAAAATGCTGGTATCAAAACAGTAATCGTTATCCTCTCATCTGACGTGTTTGTCAGGAGTACAACTAATTTCGATAGGTGCTGAAGGTCTCGAATGGTCTAGTGGTTGACGCTGTCGATTACTGCACAATGCATAGCCATTTGATCTAGGTCAGTGAAATAAAGAAATAGTGAATTTTTGCGTTGGCGCTTTTACAAGCGCTAATTCTTCTCGAAAGCGTTCTGCAGCTAACGGAGATAGTTTCGAGATTAGCGTTTTAAGACAAGCATTTTGATGTATAACATATTCCATTAGGCCACGGTCACCAGTTATCTTCTCCTTGTTGGAGGCCACTTCGTAAACTTTCCTAATATGAGAGTAGATATAGCAGCTATCGCAGCCAACATTGATAATGCAGAAACCCAATTTAATTCGTTGTACATAGTCAAACACAATCAAAATTTTGGCAAAGAAGAGAATCTTATTTGGTAACGATGATATTTCCCTCTTCGTCGACTGGCACGACTTTCGGTGTGCCAGGCTCAAATTTCGGTGTCACACCACGTTTTGGTGCTTTCCATGCTCCTTTCCTTGGGATCATTTGTATACATTCTGGTATCGGGCAGACACTGCAAATATGATAGCAGTTCGTTCATTCATCTCAAAGTCAGCGTACCTGTAGCAAAGTCCGCATCCAGTACAGTTGTCTTCGTTGACTTTTGGTTGATGAGTGTTTGCGTTAAAAGAAATTGCTTGATATCCAGAGTCAGCACATGTCATATAGCATTTACCGCAATTGATGCACATGTCCTGATTTTCATTTTCTTAGAACAAATATAAAACCAGATAAGCTCAAATGCTTACATCATCGATAATCGCCACTTTTTGTTGTTTATTATCCAAGGTGACATAAGGACCAATTCGTGGAAGAGCTTCACCGATAACGTCCTGCAATGGTCAAGCTAGTGACATTTTGAGATGAATTTTTTATGGGCAGAAAGTGGCGTCGTATATTGAAAGCGCTATACGCCCATTAGTTGAAAGTTGGACTGTTGCCATCAAGACGAGACACGGATGATTCATTATTTGTTCTGTGCTTAGCGTACAGATTTTTTTGGTTATACACTTCACTGCCTTACGTTTCGGCTACATTGAGGTTATCAGAGGCCTGAAAGGTCGATGACTTGTACTAACCAGTTTGCCGATATTGCAGTGTGCAACTGTTTTGTACAAGCCCGTTCGATGGGACTGTCACAAGAATGAACAGTGTGCATGGTAAACTGTTTACACAGACGAGATATAGCTAGCAAAATGGAGGATACGGCATGAGATCAGCGGTCATAGATTGCTCATTCTTACTGTTTATTATGGTTATTATGGGATCACGCGCAAAAAGGTAGCTTTTAAAGGCTTTTGCGCAGAGATTTGTCCTTTATAGACTAAGACCGTGCGTCTCGTATCGTAGTCCGTACCTCCGTGCTCTACTTTTCTATGTTTAGCTAGTGAGCTGGAAAAAGGAGAGAACATGTCAAATAAGTAGCCCCAGAGGCTAGAAACACGGATACTTATGCAATCTTTGAGTTATTCTTAAATTCCAAACAAGATTCAAACAAAATCAAAACCAAATCAACAACAAAATCCAGTTATTTATGCTGAAGTGGTCATCTAAGACATGTTAATGACGCGCAGCTGATAAATTCCCACTTTTTGAATCAGAATGTGCTGACGTTCTAAGGTCAAATCAACCGATCCACTCATGAACGAGTATCAGATGCTTTCCTCATATACCGCATTTCGCACTAGGGCCAGGGCTCGCCAAAGCAGGCTGGATATCTTTGGGTAAGAAACAAAGGGGACATGCTTCAGGGTCAATCAGTAGACAGACTCTTGAGAATAATTTCTTGGAAAGACAGTTCAAGAATCCAATTACTTATGCAATCCCGTTCACGCCCCCTTCATCTCTTCCACTTTAATCTCTGTAGACATTCCCTGTGCCTATCATGGCCTCACCGGGGTAGGGGACTAACTCCGCCAGCTTCAACCGCATCCGCGGACTACTGGTCCTGCAATGACAGGCAGCAATTTTGCGAAAGGACCTTATGTGCTCGCGGCATTTCAAACGCGGGTACTTGAACAAGCGAGGGTTTCAGAACCGGAGGTTTCCCCAAAATCAAATGCATTGATATGACGCCGAATTTGGTATATAGATGCGAGATGAAGCGTTGAAACAATCTACCGAAATTTGTAAACGAAAGGTCATTGTAACGTTTGAATTACGAAAAAAGTGAAATTTTTCCTTCTGCTCACGTGAATTTTTGATCGTTTCTCATAACTCTTATTTCCACCTCAGTATATACTATGAACTGAGGTAAAAACCGCGTCAAAAGTCGGCTCTCTTCTCCCCTTCCCCTTTATCACCCGAGATATTCTGAATGGTGACGGCAATCGTGCTCCAAGTCATGGGGTGCGCATCGTAAGTATTGCGCTAAAGAATACGAACCATCAATTTTGCTTAGCGCGTTCTTCTTCTGTTCACTTTTATTCTTCATTCTTATTCTTTTTTCTCTCTTTTGAAACCTCACAAATGTTATCTTTCTGCGAATCTTTTTATTATCTTATCTTTTATTGTTATCTTTTTCTTTACGAAGTCCCTACAAGTCTTACCTACAGATCGACCTAGATCTTATATATAAAGCTGAATGTCTGTTCGTCTGTCTGTATGTATGTCTGTCTGTCTGTGTGTACGTATGTTCTACGTATGTTCCGAATAGAAAATTCCATTTCTGAACCGATCGGGACCAAACTTGGCACACATACACTTCGGGCCCCGGCGGGTGTCATAGGGGCTACTTTTCGTCATCGATCGATATCGATTTTATCGACTTTTTGCAAAATTTGAGCTACAGGGCTGGGAGTTGGTACAGGGGGGGGGGGTAATCGAGCATGCTGATTACGAATATAATAATGACAGGGCCGGCGGAGCCGGGTAAGTCAACTAGTGTAATATAAAGTTCAAAACTTGCCTGAATCGAAGGAATATCTCCAACTGCCAAATCTGGACGAGTTGTCATTTTCCCAAGCATCGATACAGGGCCTCTAGTAAGTATGTGCTGCTCCAATTTTTCTCGCTGCTTACGGTAGTTTCCAAAGTTGGGTATCCCCTAAAATTTGAAGGCATTAGTGAAGCCTTTATTGACTCCTTTACATACCGCATTCTCCACCAAAATAGGTTTTCCCTTCTGATGTTTTCTAATAGGAGGACTTTGACCATCCCAATCGTCGAGTTCGGATGCTTTGAGATAGAGGAGTGCTCGTAGGCCAGTACAGTAATCTTCCACAACTGTGCAGTCCTGGTTTTGTATAGCAGATGCAACCTATGGATTGAGAGGGAGAGGACGTTTGAATTTTGGCTCGGGTATGGATTCTCACTTGCAAAAGTGAAGCTCCTGCGTAAAGGAAAGCCAGCGCGGTTTCAGCGCTTTCTACACCTCCACTACCCATAATCGGGTATCCTTTCAATCGTCTTGATATAGCTGAAACTGCTCTGAGAGCTATGGGACGAATTGCCGATCCGGACATGCCGCCATATGTTGTCCTCAAATTTTGAAGCACTAGATTTTACTATATAATCAACTCCTCCCCCCCCCCCCCCCTACCTCTTTTCTCTGCCAACTGCTGGCCATGCAGTAGCATCTGCTTTCATGTGCATCAGACTGGCTACGGTATTCGTTGCAGTGACTCCATCTGCACCGCCTTCTTTAGCTGCAGAAGCTATGGCGCAGATATCAGTGATGTTAGGCGTCATTTTGGCAAAGAAAGGGATCTGAAAAGTGTGGAAGTAATTTGTTGCTATAGGAGAACATGTGCTTTGAGAACACTTTAAAGAATACGAAACACTTTACCTCTACTGCTTGCCTAACCCATGAGCATATAGTCTTGACAATCTTTGGATCTTGACCGCAGGCAAGACCCATTCCTTAAAAGTCAAGGTATTGTTCAGCTGTTACAAATTTCTTATGGGAAGTAGCTATTGTGCTCAGAAGTAGTGATCGAGCAGAATTTTGGCTATGCTTCCTTTTTTGGATAATGTCAAGTATGGGTAGGAGAATATATGAAATAAAAGCCATATATTCGAGAGGAAGCGAGAGAAACGGGTGCTTTCAACGCGATTTCTTATCCAAGCTGCTTAGGTTTTGAATGAACAGCTTGCACAACGAAATCTTTATGAGTTGATAAAATAACGAATTTGAGCACAGCGGTTAATTTTTATTACAATTTTAGGCTGATAGACCGCAGCAATGTCAAAAAGCATTCAGAAATTTTTCGGAGAGCCTGTAAAAAGCAACGCCTTTCATCAAAATGAGATTTTTGCATAGCTCCCCCTCCCTTCTGGAAAGTTCCGGGCGAATGTCTTCCGGTACGGAAATAACAATTATGTAGTAGTACTCAGACAGCGGATAGGACCCCTCCGCCGGAGAAATGGCAGGGTCGCGGCGTTTCCCCAGCGGTGGGTGTCCCATTTGTCCGGCGGAGCCCTCCCATTTTCTGTTCCGGATACCTCCCATTTTCTGCTCCGGAGGCCTCCCATTTCTGCTCCGGACCCCTCCCATTTTCTCCGGCGCGGCTCTTCCAAATTTGGCGGACTCGCGCCGGGCAAATTTCTCCGGCGCGGAGTCCGCCAAATCTGGCAGAGTCGCGCCGGAGAAATGGCGGACCTTTGCAGCAGGGCCGGAGAAGCCTCCCACTTGCCTGCCAGTGATGTCACCGCGATGGACCGCCCATTTGCCCCCCTGTGAGAGGGAACGATATCCCACGGTGGCATATGCAGATGTTGACATATTTCTACAATCAGCATAGCTGAGAACGATCTGATAACGGTTGCCAACCGATATAAAACAGACACATGAGACTGTAGGGGAGATATCTCGGAACCCCCAGCTGCAGAGCGGCACGCTCACCTACAGATCATCTTGCACCAACCTCTGCTGTTTACTCTGTACCTTCATGTATTGTGTCTAGTAAATCATGTTATTACCACTTTGTGTCGCCTACTAGTAAAGAGAATATCTATTGGGCCCAGATCTTACTGGTAGCAGCGAGTGCAAACAGCAAGTTGGATGTAAGGTGAGTAAATTTGGTTAGTAAGTGTGTTTAGCTCCACAGTGGGCAGCGAACGATCTTGAATAACTTTCCGTATGATAACGTGTTATTACTGCTAATGTACCCAAACTTTTTGCTTTTGTTTTTTACTTGTAAAAACGCATGCGTCCAGGCTGAGAGAAGCTTGGTTGTGTTTGGAGTTCAGGTAGAGAGTGGCTCCCTAATGAGTTGTAGCAGTGTCCGGGTTGAGATGGATTCCCCCGAGGATTGGTTTTGAGTGGTCCAGGCCTGAGGATTGGTTGTGACGTCGTCCAGGTAGAGCGTAGCTCCCTGTGGATTGGTTTTGCGCGCTGTAGTAGTATAGTGGGTGGTTCCCGATAAAAACCGGTTTTGGGCTCGAGCAAAATAAATTGTCACGTGGCTAGGTGTCTTTTTCTTTTTTTTATGTTTTACGGGTTTCGTGCATTGTAATTATGCAATTACAGATTTCCAAGTTTTTTTTTATAGTGAAGCGCATACTTGATGAGCGAGGCGCGGCGAACATAAACATCAAACGCCGCAATCTGATGTTTATGTTGAATATGCGATAGTGTTTTGAGATCATAGCTACATGACAACATAACTCTTACATACTTCCCTGATCTGATAATCCTCACATATAAGTGCCATAGCGCAAAGGAAGAGGTATCCTTCACAACTCAGCAACTCCATTCTTTCTTGAAACGTTGCTGTCACGACACCTCCGATGACTCGTTCTCGAGTTCATGCAGTTAATATGCATTCACCAATACCGGGGTCGTAGTTGCCCAAGTCCAGATTCTGATACTAACAGCGGGGGATACTTGTCCAGATATGGAAATCCCAAACACAGCTTTTGGAAAACTCGTAAGTTTATATACATGAGATCTTACCCAGGGTCAAACAAGAAATGTGGCACACAAGTGTCGGATGCGACCCCCGCCTATGCTCCTATGACATGAAGGCTCTATCATGCATAATCAATTCATTTGTAATCATCATATCTTTATATCATGAGTGAAGGCGCGACAGGGCGTTAAATGTTGAAATGGTGAACGTGTTGAGAAACTTGAAAAGAACGCTAGTAGAAAAGCTGCAGTTATGAAGCATTTGTGAAACTGGAGTAATGAGTTAGTTTGCGTTGCGAGAATCATCGGTGATAGAATTTTGAGCTTTCCTGTATGGAATTAGCTAGATTTTGTGCATTGTGACTATGCATCCACAGCTCTTTTCATCTAATACGCCTAGCGTATGCAATATTATGTTTCGTTAGGTAACGTCCGCGCGTAAGGCGCCGCGAGAACTACAGCGAGCGTCGCGGACAAATGTTTATGTCGGCGATGTGATCGCACTCCCAGATACAGAGCGCGGGAAGCTTGTGAGTAATAAACATAGGGGAAATTATGTTTTTCTCATGAGATAGACAGAAGATAATGGTTGGAGAAAATTGTTGTCAGGGATATGTTTACATACTTTTTTTCTTATCTGATAACGGACTCGTATATATGCATGTCAATGTTAGAAGAATACACATTTCACATATTCTTCGTTTTCCGTCGTACTTTTCTTGCGCTCTTCCCTCGAATGGCCCTCCGGTGACTCGCTCTCGTGCCCATTCGGTTGATACAGGGGTCGTAGTTACCCAAACACAGAGCTTAGAACCTACTACTGGTCCCGTAGAGGACACTGATACAGATACAGCAACTCCGGATAAAATGATGGCCACTCTTAGAGCTACATTAGGTAATGGGAGGGGGATTCAGATGTGGTGCATGGTCGAGATGCCAAAGCTCTTAGGGATGCAACATCCAACGTCGTTGCTAATATGTGGTACGATGCGCACTACAACACCTCGCAGCTAGTACAGCGCTTCAATAACAATAGTGCGGCGCTTCTCAAGGGGATTACGGACAAGTTTGACGCCACTGACACTCGTAAAAGCACCTTGCCCCAAGTAGCGGTCTGCAACCCGGAGGGACACCACATTTACTTGTCGGGATATACCCACAAACCGTATTGGATTGCAGGGGATTGCAGTTGCAGTGCAGTTCAACACTTACGTCGTTACACGTTCACTTTCACGCTTCCTCATGAGCCAATATTCTCCCCAAGGGTCGTGGACCCAAATTCAGATGACTATAACCAGAATTACAAGACAGCCAGCTCTTCTCTTATCTTTTGCAAAAGACTCCGCTTTTGTTATTGGTGCACTCGAATCCAATGTCCCGGAAAAAGATAAATAAACTGTCACGACAAACTCCTAGAAAGTCCCTTCAGGACTTTTGGGTAAAATGGGGAGGTGTAAGAGGGAACGATATCCCACGGTGGCATATGCAGATGTTGACATATTTCTACAATCAGCATAGCTGAGAACGATCTGATAACGGTTGCCAACCGATATAAAACAGACACATGAGACTGTAGGGGAGATATCTCGGAACCCCCAGCTGCAGAGCGGCACGCTCACCTACAGATCATCTTGCACCAACCTCTGCTGTTTACTCTGTACCTTCATGTATTGTGTCTAGTAAATCATGTTATTACCACTTTGTGTCGCCTACTAGTAAAGAGAATATCTATTGGGCCCAGATCTTACTTCTCATTGGTCAACTGGGTCCGGCGCGACTCTGGCAGTTTCGGACTGTCCGGCGGAGGGGTCCCGTCGATTGTCTGAGTATGTGAACGAGGCTGTCGACCTTTTGCCATAAGCTAACGTATCACATGTTATGGTAGTGATAGGAGTTCTAATTATTAGTGTAGCGTACATTATTTCCGCTAATTAGACAATTCCTATATGGAATTCCTGTCAATTAACCTAATGTAGGGTACAAAATCGATTCCTATCTAATTGACCGAATGTAAAGTATCATATTTTTTGTTAACTACACATGTCAATAGTTGCAAGGGTACGGTCATCAACTTTCTTCGCAAAGACCGAGTACTCTTCTCTTTTCTTTATCAATGTAGAGCATTTGATTATTCCTGCGCCGAAGAATTAGAACATTAGAACAAACCTTTTTCACCCATTCCATGGGGGCATGACAGGTTCAGCTCGATCATATCTGCGCCTGCCTCCTCGCTCTGTTTGGCAAGAGATTGCCAATCTTCCTTAAATGTCCGTGTGAAAACTCTTATTCAGACATAAATTACCATTACTCCCATATACCTTGTTGCACGAGCACATGATAGAAGCTATGACTCTCTTCGATGGGAAGTCACGTTTTAGTTCTTTGATACATTGAATCCAATATGCAGTTGATTTTTCTGAGATGAGCTCGATATTCATGAAGGATCCCTAAACCGGCCGTTTTGCACAAAGTCAATCCATGAAGTCTGTTTCGGTCCTACCTGATTCGGTCCATAACGTGGTCCTGAAGTAGATCCTCGAACAATTCTAGGAGAAACGTTCGTGACTAAATCCTGAAAGAACCCAGCGTTGAGAGAAACACAAGTGCAGGGTATATCGGAACCTTATCAGTAACGAATGACTTGGTGACCACGAATCCCCAGCCTGCCTCGAAGGCTCTTCGGCACATTGCTGCTGAGGTCGCCGGTGGAGCAGAAGCCAATCCAAATGGATTTTCAAACTCTACACCGCACATTTCCACTGAGATGTCAACCTGTAGTTAGTTGAGAAAAGTTGTTTGATTGATAAAAAGTTGTGAGTTGAAATGCACACCTCGTCTATGGGTGTGTAAAACATAGGTAATTTCGGTTTGTCTCCAACATTATTTCCATGCAGGGATTGGATGTACTTGTGAATAGACCAAGCTGCTACCTATAAAATGCTTGATAAAGAGCAGGCTTTTTTCTTAATTATAAATGAGCTGATTTGTTCAGTGTAATGTGCGTGATTATAAACGGTAATGATTAAAAACGTTCTTTTTAGTGCGAGAAAATTGTTTTCCGGAATGAAAAGGCGTTAAAGACAGCGGCCCGGCAGAATTTCGTTTTACAATTCTTCACCTTTTCGAAGCCTTCTCGTCATGAGAAACTCATATTTTTTGTGCTTTTCAGTGCATGAAAACGGCAAAAATTCGCTTTTTTCGTAGCTTTTTAGGCCCGCATTCAGTGAAGATACGCCTGAGAAAGCCGCGCCCCGCCTTTTTCATTCCAAGCCCCGCCCACTTTGCACTAAATGCTACCTGGAAGGCTTTGGAAAAAGCGCATTTTTGCCATTTCCATGGCTGAAGAGCGATATGGGTTCCACATGGCGAGCAGGCCCCGAAAAGGTGAAGAACTGGAAAACGAAATTCTGCCGAGCCGCTGCCTTTGAAAGCGCCCTCCGCAAAACGTAACCATGCCCTTGGAAAGTTTCCTATTCTCTTCTCCACTGTACAAGCTTAACATCTTAGAGTGGGACAAGTATGGAGGCAGTTGCAACCACTTTCGAAAAACTCATTTCTATAAAAAATGATTCAGATTTTCAAGAAAATTTGATAATTATCTTAGTCATTTACAAGCAAAAACGAAATGCTTGCACAATTTTCTTCTAGCATACTCCTCGAGAAAGGAATTGTAGAAAGGGAATGATTAGAGCTAGGTTCTCTGAAATGGATTACGTAAGGTAATTGATGGCTAGGACGGTAATGGCTTATTTGTGTCAGCCTTCCAAAAAATTTTTTTGTTAAAGGCCATTATAAAAGATAAACGCGCATAATCTAAAGGTTCTTTTGTATTTTGCAATCCTCACCGTAATGATAACAATAATTTTGATTGCAGATATCACGCATCAGTGCTTTTATGCGACCAGGTTCTCCTGTCTCATTGCGGGTTTTTTAAGAAATTTGAATTTATCACCACTGATTCGAAGAAGTTATACCAAACACCATTTATTCAATTTCTTATATATTCTTCTGTTTCAGATCTTCAGAGCCTTATTTGGCCACATTTCATGCGCATGTGCATAGCAGTCAAGTATTCGATTAAGAATATTGATCATTTGCAAAAAAACCCTAAAAAAATTCTGCCTACAAAACGGACATCAACAAAAAAAAAGACCGTTGTTGTTCGATGAATCGGCATCCCAAAAAGAGCGAAAATATTACTGCTGGCCAAAGTTTCCTGACGATCACAAAATAAATATGCCTGGTTAAAATATGCTTTTTTCTCGAAATTGGTATTATAGAGTGCTATTATAGAGCTCATAGCAATAATTGCTGTTAGTTTAGTTTGTTGTTCACCTTTCCGTCATTCACAGCTTCAACACACGTCTCGGCCACTCCGGCGATATCACCACCAGCAAATACCCATGGAACATTCGTTGTCTGATTAGTTTTGTTAACCTCGACAAAACCACTCTTGCTTATCTTTACGGGGGACATTGCTGCGATTACTATAAATAGATTATTTTTTGTCATTCCTAAACGAAGACTATGTCTTCATCCTCTTATAAACCCTACCATCTTTGTCCCGCAAAGAAGATCCAAAACAAGTGATAACATAATCAGCTTTGATTATCATAGTTTGTTCCTCGTCCACATACCCGAAATTTTGAGTGATAGTTGAACAGAAACCATTTAGGGGTCAATGACATACCAACTTCCGTCGTCCTTTTTCCCTGTTCTAGCAAATTGCACATATTCAATATTACCGTTCTCGATCTTGATATCTGTCGCAGTACAGAAAGGTATGAATTCGCATTTTTCTTCACGGGCTGCATCCACCTGCAGATTTTTCATTTTCATGTGTATCCTAATTTTGCATCTCAAAAAAGCTCGTAAAAAATTCTCCCGGCATTGAAACATTTTTCCAAAGAAGTTTTTATGTTGTTTTAGAGTCTCGCCCTCTATGCGTGAAAAAAAGGATGACTCTCGAAATAAAGCGCGAAGGCATATACCTCTCTGAAGTTCGATCAGGATGTCTTATCTCTTTAACCATGTCCAATTTCCAAAACCTGATAATGACTTGTTTTACAGTGAAGTATTCTAAATTTCGTTAACTAGATTAGCATCGTTGAAAAAAATTTCTTCCGTAAACCGATTGTGGCCATGCCCTATTCTTTTGAATTTTCACAGTATCAAGCATGCATAAATTTGTGTACCATACAAAGGAATATTATACAAGATTTTTGAAGTATTTTTTGGGATGCCACGTACAAATTTATTCTTTGTGGATTAGGAAGCCTCACTAATAATTTTGCATGGATAAGAGCCCCTAATCGGGGAAGAAATTGGCCATTATTTCGATCATAAAGCCTATTTAGTGATCCAAGTTCATTGTTTTACTGTATGAAATGAGTAGGTGAAAGTTTTTTTGGAATTGTCAGCGAAAAAATCCGAATTTGTCAAAAAAAATTCAGTTTTCTTGGATCTTGCCTTCAGTCTGTATATGGGTCAAGATTTTTTGGGCATTGAGGTTATTTTACAGAGCTTGATTTGCTCAAAGTTGAGCACTTAGGTCTCAAAAAAAGGCCAAGGTTCCCTCAAACGAAAATGGGTGAAAGAACTATGCCAGCGAGGGCCGCCTTCTCGGACTACTGATCCTGCAACGACTTGCAACAACATTGCAAAAGGAACAGCTGCCAGCGGATTCGACTCCAAACTAGCGTAAATCTTCCCCTACGCCACGAAAATTATTGACCTAGAATCAGTACCTCCTCTGGCACAGCGTGGATTCCGCTGAACCCTTCACGAAATACTACTGTTACTCTTGATGCTCCTGCTCTGAGAGCTGATGTAGCACAATCGAAAGCGGTATCGCCTTCAAAGAGCATTCAAAATTTTTCGAGGATGTTCCGAATCTCTAATCTGCTAACTTACCAGCGCCAAGGACGATTACTCTTCCCTTCAAGGAAGGTAACGTTCGAGAGCATCCACATTTTCCTAAAAAGTTCAAAAACAATGAATTTCTTGAAAAAGCCAATAAAATCAGGACTATACCGGATTTGCTAGCAGCAGCCATTGCAGGGAGGAAATCTTTGCTTGTGTAAAAACCATGGCTCTGTGTCAGACCGGTGAAAAGTTTATCTCTTTTAGGCTCAGGCAATCCGATTCCGATAAACACAGCCTTTGCTCCATTTGCCTCAAATGTGACATTAAAAAAATCGGTGAAGATAATAAGCTCAAAAACAAAAAAAGTTGGCAAAATCAGTCTGCCATACTTAAATCACCGTAAATCAAAATGTACTAGAAATTTTTGCAGAATTACTTTCAATTTCTCCAGCGTAAGATCATTTTTGTGCAATTTACGTCCAGTCACAATTTTTACGCCAATATCTTTTGCCAATTGTATCTCGAATTCAACGGCGTCATAAGATAGACGGAACTGCGGAATCTCAGATGCACTGAAATGTGCTATTTTTTTCCTGCAGAATAGCAGAAGACGCTGAAGGCACGTTTAGGATGATTTTGAGCTATTACCCTATTCCTCCAACGTAATCTTTTTTCTCATAGATGGTAATGTCAGTATAGCCTAGCCGAGCTAAGAAGGATGCACAAGAAATTGAAGCAGGGCCGCATCCTTGAACAATTTTCTGTGGAAAATACTGTAAAATAAATAAATAGAGCATACCCATGAGAACAATAGGTGATGCATGAGACTTGTTTCTGTGCTCTCGAATCTCTTTCGAAACAATTTGTCGGATGTTCATCTTTTTGAAGACCTGAGTACGAATGAATGATTCAAAATGTACACTCAGAAATGGAAAAATTTATAAAAAGCAAGTCTTACATCACACGCAAATTGCTGAAGTCCTCCAATATTTATTGGTCCCTCTTCCGTCGCTTGCAGATTGCAGGATCCCACGCAGAGGTTCGAAGTTGAGCAAATATTACCGCAAGTTAAACCAAGCGGATTGTCACTCAAAATTTGACGAGCTGCTCCATAGTAATTCTAGAAGAAAAATAATTTTTCTTGCAGATGTGACATATACATATAGGTGATATAGTCACATGCATGATAATTTTTTATATCTTAAGAAAAGTTCCGATGTACAAAATAAATGCTCATAATATTTACATTTTCTAATATATAATGTGTAACATAATGACCGTACTGGTGCTTTATACCCCGTGGAACTTTCGGTTGCTAGATTGGCACGACTGTGAGAAAATATGTAAGTAAGTAAAGTACTCAATATCATGGATAGCGTTACGAAAGTAACTCTGACAGGAACGGACTGTATTGCTGCATTGCGATGCAACGTTACTTCGTAGGGATTTTGCACAATGGTTCGTCGCCGTCGTATGACCCCATTCAGACGCTCACGAACATGCAGTGGTTCTCGCCTCAGTTTGGGCAGAGAAGCGGCGTCTGCTCTGAGGCGAACGCTTCACGCCGTTTTGCGGTTACTGTGCGATCTTGAGGCATATCTGCACCTCTTCTTCCTGGTCCTTCTAAGCTAGGTGCCGGCGCTGTTTGTTTTCAGTGGACATGCTGCCTCCGCGAAAGGTGTTTCGCTTACCCATGGTTATAACGAGCTATACTTACCCTTCTTAACCCCTATGCCATGCCCTAGGATAAAGCATGGTAATAGCTATGAAGATTATCCAATCGATAACAAGTTTGACATATCGGGGAGATTATTTATGGAAGAAGCTCAGACGAGGAGCTATTTAAGATTGATACAAGTATATCCGAGAAGGATTTGAATTCAACGTTGAAGCCACTGCGGGCGAAAACAAACAGGAATACAAAGAAGATACAAGTTTGACGATGGAGCTAAGGCAGGTAAGACACTAGGCACTAGTTTTACACAGTTGAAAGTAAAATGTTTTCTACTCGACCCATACAATCAAGCTAAAGTGCGGTTCATAATTGTACGAACACCTCAAATTTTTGAAGTTTCTGGATTTTTTAGAAGAAACTCAAAAAGCCGTTGTTACCACTCGATAGAGCACAGCCAAAAACGGTATACGATTCACAAGAATGGAAATCGATGTCAATCTTAGGAGTGCTTTTGCGCCGAATGCGAATTTTTAGCGGTTCATAATTATACGAACACCTCAAGCAAAGGTCCATTTTTCATCCAAGATTGCAATCATTTGAGTCCAAATTTTTTGTAGACTTACAGTAACAAAATCTGACGTGTCCGCTACACACTGAATCCAAGTGCAGTTCAAAAAAGGGACCGTCACTTTTTTCAGAAGGCTCTAAATGCTTCTGGAGTGATTGCGCTCCAAAAACATCCGTTCTTCTGCGGTTTACGCGCTCTAATTAGCTTCTAACAAAGCTATGAGATGAAATAAGTTCTTTCGATGGGTATTTTGTCTGACGCTTAGAAAATCTTTGCGTTTCCGTGCCGTTTTACAACCAAGTTCCAACCTTACCACAGAGTTAGCAGGATTTCGAGCCTCAAAACTTAGCTTCTGAAGCCGTACTATGAAGTAAGCATATAGTGTGTAGAAGTTCACAAGACTGTATATTTGGCTAGAAAAAATCAGCAGCGTTGAGCGTTTGTTTTGGCCACGCAGATGTCATTTCATCAAAAACACTGTTTTTACTATTGCAATCTCACCTTTATTTGGTTTGTAGCTCCACAGCCGCAAGATCAGTTCCACAAAAAACCCAAAAACTTTGGCACAGAAACATCATCATGTAAACAATGCAGCTGCTTCATATCAAATGTTTGCGCGAGAGAGAAGCTGAGTTTTGAGGCTCGAAATCGTGCTAACTCTGTGGTAAGGTTAGAGCTTGGTTGAAAAACGGCACGAAAACGCAAAGATTTTCTAAGCATCAAACAAAATACCTATCGAAAGCGCTTATTTTATCTCATAGCTTTGGCAGAAGCTAGTTAGAGCGCGTAAACCGCAGAAGAAAGGATGTTTTTGGAGCGCAATCATTCCAGAAGCATTTAGAGCCTTCTGAAAAAAGTAACGGTCCTCTTTTTGAACTGCACTGGGTTCAGTGTGTAGCGGACACGTCAGACTTTCTTACTGTAGCTTTACAAAAAATTTGGACTCAAATGACTGCAATTTTGAATAAAAAATGGATCTTTGTTTGAGGTGTTCGTATAATTATGAACCGCTGAAAATCCGCACTAGCCGCAAAAACACTCCTAAGATTGACATCCACTTCCATTCTTATGGATCGTATACCGTTTTCGGCTGTGTTCTATCGCGTGGTACCAACGGCTTTTTGAGTTTCTCCCAAAAAGTCCGAAAACTTACAAAATTTTGGGTGTTCGTATAATTATGAACCGCACTTTAGTAAAGAACAAGTTAAAAATTTTTGAAATGAATTATTCGGATAACAATAATAATACGAAATCAGTTTTATATCTGGGAGATGAGTTATTTTTATTATCGTTATTCTTCTTTACTGGAGAGTCCGGGAATGGCATAAGACCAACACAACACTCTGTCTGAGGATAAGAACGAAAGTTTTCAAGTCATCATGACTCATATTAAACCGCTTGAAGCTGTGTGTGGCTTTTCCGTTACGAGATTACAGTGGAATGCACAGTACTTTAAGCATGTGATATTTGATAACAGCTCAGATAATCGCCGGGGACAGGCGGCCATGCGATCTATGGGCGGGCGGGCACCGGAAACATAGTTCGCAGATTTCTTGCGGTCCGTTTGCAGATATCTGAAAGAATTTTAGCGAAATTTTGGACGAATGCTTGGAGAACAATCGCGGTTTACTCATAGATTAGCTGCGGCGCAGTGGCCGCATTCCCGCGGACTTTCCGCGAGAATATTTTCGAGGGCCGTCCTTTGTGGAGGACCGCGCAGCCCCCAAGTACTTTCCGCTGAGAGAAAGTACCTCAAACTTGAGTAATTGAACGATCGATGACACCTCTGCCATGTAGAGTCTCACCTTTGCTCGGCGTATGCCCGAAACTGCTTAAAACCGTCCAAGCGCCAGCTGAAATTTTGACCAGCGCTCGCTGAAAGAGATTATTTGACGAGCGCCTGCAGAAAACTCTGTGTTGCTGCCCGCTGGCAGAATATTAGACAGTAAAGGAAGTGCCGCCCGCTGAAGGTTTGGCCACGCCCCAAAATTCTGCTGACCGCTTGCAGAAAAGCGCGAGTTTGCGGATCGCCTGCCCTCGGCGATTATCTGAAAGGTGGTTCATTTTCAACTAGGGGTCACTCGCTCCAGTCAACTTGTAATGATGTGAGAAACAAGCTATTGAAGCGTATGTTTATCCTCACTTTCCGCGATGACCAATGCAATCCTCTGTATAACAGAGGTGATGCACTGGTAATATTATAATTAACATTATTTGATAACGTTGTATAAATTTCCTTAAAAAAACTACTTTCGCAAGATAGGATACGGAATCTGAAAAAAATTCTGAGTATATGGAGTTCCTTCACCAGTCAAACAAGGTTGGAGATTGGTTCCCTTGCTCTAGACCATCAGAGTATGCCCTTTGCTCAGCTTTCAAACTTTTTTTTACTGATCTATTGAATAGCAACCCTAGAGAGTAACAGTCATAACAGTATCTTGGTTTTTCAACAAACCGCGGCAATGGTTTAGTAAGGTACGGCTTGACAAATAAAATATAAAACTGACCTTATTTGCAATACTCATTATGAATGACTTTATATCCACTTGTGCAGGGCAACTCTTTTGACAAGGAGCATCGGCGCACTTCAAACATCTGAATTCACCATACTTCAACTTGTTTTTTAAACGTATAGCTTGATTACAGTCAACGTCAATTACGTACTCCCTTTCGCATGAAAACTGCGCATGCGCAACGCAAGGGCTGTGCGTGCGGACCTCTAATCGATGAGGCCAATTTGAATGCCGACACATGCGCGCGAACGTGCCGCGAAGCTTATTGCGCTTATAGAAATGGGAGCACATAATGGAGTGCTATAGGGGCCTGCAGGATCACGAGAGTCGGACGTGCGTACGGCCATTGCGCCGCGCACGAAGTTTGATGTCACTAAGGCAGGTGCCAAACTTATCCGCTTCAACCGATTCGTTCGCTTCATAGGTCAAATCACCACATTGTCCAACAGAAAAGGTGGTGAACCGAATGAACCTGTTGAACAGGATAAGTCTGGCACCTACCTGAGCCGTCGGACGCACATCTGACGTGCGCGGCGCACTGGCCGTACGCACGTCCGACTCTCGCGATCCTGCAGGCCCCTATACCTTCGCACAGCTGAGCTGTTCACTACAAGTCTATCGCCAGGTCAAAACTGCTTTTCTTTCATCTTTTTTTCTGTTATTTCTGCAGCCCAGTTGAAGCGAAAGGAAGAAAAAGTGAGGTGTCAGTATAGGTGTACCTCGGCTGCTAGATTTCAAACTCTTGTGCAGTCTGCAGGCTTCGGCGAGTGTATGCTTCGCGCATTTTTGAAAACAAAGTCCTTCAACCTCGCCAGTTATTCGAAATCTCCTTCGAAGTAATTTCAATAGTACTAAGTGACAAGAGAAACATCTATAGCTGTTACGATCTACTGCGAAATTTACTTTGTTTGAAGGGTTCTAATTGTAATATCTTCATGTTTGAAGGATTCTAATTGTAATATCTTCACCAAATGGTAATGATTCGCTAAAGCTCTCCTTGAGATAAAACATGGCAAAAAAGCACTATAAAAACACCGCCCCTGATTCAAGCACATGCCTATTTTGTACTTTTCTTTTGACTTCATGTGATACATTATTTGATAAGAATATGACTGCGTTTGATTACCCAAGTTTAGTTAAACGACCAATATATCGATTGCGTATTTGGTGTATCGTGCCAAAAAGTCAGTATACGGTCATCAAGTCCGTATATGGTGCTTCGGCCGAAAAATTTTCGCACAAGAATTTTGTGTTATACCATTGGGCATACAAAATGACCAAAGTGAGGAACATGATATGCGTCCATACACAGCTCATGATAGCTGAGAAATCAAGACGGCTGTTTTCAGCAATGAAGATCTAGAGGAAAAGCGATTCTGTTTACTACACGTTACTTCACGAAAATCGTTAACATTGTTTTATAAGTGTTGAGTATTATTTCCAGTACTTTGTGTGTCATGTTCTCTGTTTATGTTTCTGTCTTTCATATTCACCACAAAGGACATTTTCTTTTTTGTGAAATTTTAGAAAACTCTGTTTACTGAAGTGCGTGAGGCTGACTCATGAGCCCCTACTTTTCGAAAAGCTAATTTGTAGTCAATTAATGATGTTCTTTGCAAAGATATAGCACACAAGTTTTTTATACTTAATGATTTGAAAAAATCTGTAAACACCGGTTTCTCTTAATCAATGCCTTCGAAATTGGGCCTTATTGATCCACCCAAATTTCGGCTTCTATGTTGTTAATCTAGAGCCTTTCCGAGGTCTCGATTTTGAATAAAAAGTGCAAAAAAAATCCAAAACCTTCTCAAAAATCCGTCTGTTTGAAGCTCTATTCTGAACTCGTGGATGATTCTCAGTTCCTGGATGGGAAAAATTGGACTCTTTTTATAGGGGCCAAGCTAGAGGGCCGGACCAATGGATGCCTGACTCCTAGGAGTCTGCTTATGGGCTAGGTACTAATCGGAGAAGCTCGGATGTTGACTGGATACTGCACCCTTCAAAGCATATAACTCTTTACAAAAGGAAGCCTATCAGATAAAGTAGACGGACTTGCCGCTGCCGCTTAAGCAGCAGTCGTGCATGCATATTTCATTCCGAACGGCCACTTATAACTTTTCTTTCTCTTGTGATGTAAGCTGCACGCGTGCATTGTTATTTGGTAATTGATGTTTTGTAGGCTTACCGTAAGGCTTCGCGCAGAGCACCACGTTCACTTAGAGTCGTGTGTTTCACATCTCTGAAGTCATTTACAAGATTCGGGCTACACTCCTGAAATTCTTTAGTGAAGTCTTTATTGGGTAACATTAGGTACTTTTCCGTTAACAAGACCCATTTATTCGAATTGTTTACATGAAATATGTACTCCAGCTTAGAAAAATCTCTTTCAAAATCAAAACTGTTTTCCTGACCTGTCAAGATCTAAACTGTATGATAACACATTTATTTATCTCTATCTGTTTGTCGCGAAATTAGAAAGGATGATTTATATCACATGGAAGCTTATGAGGGTTTTATAACAAAGGAGATTTATTAGGCTAGAAACTAAGTTTTGCAACTGGTTTCATAACTTCATCTCTTTGGACATGGCGCACTCAAACTTTGGCATTATGTAGAAGGCAATGTGAGCTACAAGTCAGCACAAATTGTCTAAATTTTGAACACGAAATAAAAAAGTTTCAGGCGTTTTTCGATAGTGAAATTTTGAGAATTTTTGGGGTTTCAAGCTAAAATGAGGCCTTTGGCAGCTTAGACCATGCGCAGTAATCCGGATTCGTCTACAATTATTGCTGGAGGTTGACTCCTTTGGCCTAGTAAGAAAGAAACAAAATTTAGGGGCATGTAGAGATTTGGCGTCCTCATAAAGTCGAACGAGTCGATGTACGCAAGAGCTGCTGGGGACGACCGTTAATGATAAAGAGTCCGAAGCTCAAATTCCGCCGAGACTTTACATAGTAAGGTTATTTGACCTGCTAAACGCGAATATCACATTCATTTGTTGAATCAACGCCTTTTTCCTTGTTTAAGGTGAGACCCCATATCGTACACCTACAGTAATCCTGCAAAAAAGCAGCCCTTATCACGCAATTTCACTATCGTTTCCGTGATCAGCATGTCGGATAACATCCCCATGCCAAGTTTCAGCCAAATCCGTCAAACTTTGAATTTTTCCCCTTCATACCATGCACCTGCCGTAACCCTCACTGCGACGTCAGAATTTGGTAGGACAGCAGCTGCGCTTGTAGCTTATGTAATAACCAACGCTGTGGCAAAACTTGAGTGCGCTATTTTGAGTGAGAGGCAAGTTATGAGACCAGTTGCAAAACTTAGTTTCCAACCTAATATTTTGTTAGGGACTTATTGTTCAGGCAGTAGGAAAATGAGGGCTAAGACAGTCAGCAGTTTAGGGACGATACTAAATAGTAAGTAATTAGTATTTTTTAGATGAGGTTGGTTAGCACGTTTAGGCATAGTTTGACATCTTTTTAAAACCATTTCCGGTGAGGTAAAGAGCCTTCTAAATAATTCAAAACATGATAAGCCATTTTTTAATGAAAGAACAATCCAAAACGTATCTTTAGCACGTCATCTAGCACGTTTAGGCATAGTTTGACATTTTTTAAAACCATTTCCGGTGAGGTAGAGAGCCTTCTAAATAATTCAAAATAATAAGCGATTTTTTAATGAAAGAACAATCCAAAACGTATCTTATAACATCTTGTTCGGTTTCAGCAATGATTCAAAAATGCCTTGCTCCTTAAACTGTTTCCAAAATGCGAATCTATATAAAATCAGAGTTTAGAGGTACTTTTCGCGGTGATTCACCGGGTCCTTTGATCGATTCATTGATTTGTTTACTTAAACTCAAAAATGAAAGCCATCTTGCTAACCGATCATTTTCCCATAAAAGCATGTAAGCATGGGCGGTAATCATGTTAATCTCAAAGTCGGGAGGGTGCGGCAATTCGTCTTAAAGCGCTCTATGCGCATATTAGAAAAAATCTAGATGCGTAAGTTCACACGTTCTTTAGCTTAACTAATTTGGAGTCTCGGGTGAGACCGGGGCCACCAGCTAGTTTCCAGAATGAATACAAATGATGACAAGTAATAGCTGCTTGTTTCGTCGCTTAAATGGTGGAACACTAGGTGCTTTTTTCTTTTGGGCGATTCGAATGTGTTCATTGCACACAGAATTTTATTTTCATTATGTTGATGTTTTGAAACTGTCAAATAAAAGGGTTGTTATCTATTGAAAAAATTGAACTTACCATTGCTAAATAGGCTAAACAACTTGTTAAAATATGTTGAACATGTAGATAGTATGTCAACTTCATTTGACACGTGGAAAAAGGTTGACGCATTCTGCGAATTTTGACTGAACTTGGTACAAGATAAAAAGTCATATATTCCGAAAAATTGGTTCGAGTAATGGAAAGGTACCAAAGATTATGGCCTGTAATAAGCCGCTTAATCTGAAGTTGTGTGAAATCTGTCCGTTACAAAATCATCACAGTGAAGATTGATTCACAATACTTAAGCATGTATTACCTAATAGCGAGGGCGATTAATTTCAATTAGGAGTCTCGCTTTAGGTAACTGGGAAATGATGTGAGGAACAGGTTTTGCGAGCGTAATTTGACTTTAATACAATAGATGATAGCCAGTGCAAGCCTCTGCGAAGGTTTTAAGGTTGTATGCTTACGGAAAAAGAAATTGCAGGGAATCACAGCTGAAAGAGAATACGCAAATGATGGAATAGAAAGAGCAAGAGAACAAATATACCCAAAAACATATGAAAAACTCAGAATGAGAAGGTCTTCGCTAAATTTTCATATGAGCATTGCAAAACAAAGAAATCGCTTACAGTGCATTTGTCCGCATTTCTTTTCCAGTTGTATTTGTTTTTCTTGGTTTCATAACTCGGCACTACCCTCGCATAAGAGTGCGCTTTTGGATTGAGGCTAAGTAGAGCCTAAATACGGCGAATGCATTTTCCTTCTCTTGACCGAACTTTGACAACACTCTCATTGTCTTAGCCTCTCAATTGCTATCAATTGCTCTAGTCACTGCATGCAACATCGTTCAACTTAAACTGTACTCATGTCATTACCTCCAGTCTTCTTAGTGACAGTATCTTTGCTTTAAAGTGTCTTAGAATAAGAATCTTAGCGTTAGAATCTATTATTGCATTTCTGCACAAAGCTTCTGACCTTGATTTTATCTGCAGAATGCTGAGAAGTTTGGGGATGAATTCTACTAGTGACATCAATTTATTGGTATAAATTGAGGCTCACGTGCTAGGCATCCTTGCTTACGCCTAGGTGATCTAACAATCATTTATTGCAACATAGGTTTTTTGCTCTTATATATAAAGCTAAATGTCTATTTGTCTGTCTTCATGTCTTTCTGTATGTCTGTACGTAGGTTCCGAATAGAATATTTTATTTTTGGACACGATCAGAATTAAATATTGCACACATACACTTCGCAACAAGACGAGCGCCATGGTCTACTTTTCGTTATCGATCGGTGCTGCGATCGATTTTTGTCGATTTTTGCAAACTTTACCTACAGGGTTGGAAGTTGGCACAGGGGTTACTTGAGCATGCTGATTACGAATACAACGTTAGTTCTTAGAATTATTTACTGCCTTTCTCATAGATGCAGCTTTGAGCTATGGGGCTGTGACACAAGGGGGTTAGTGAGCATGTAGGGAATCAACATGTAAAAGTGGGCAGGAGAAAGGTTGGACAGGAATAGGGACGGTGTCCCATTAAGATAGTGTTTTGACGATACCGAGCGGAGCCGGTATGCAAGAGAATTATAACATAAAGTTTGCGTTTAAACCGTCACAACTACCCTTTGTTTTCAAATGTTCAATTTATAGAAATAGAATGACATGACGAAGTACCAATTGGACCAACAAAGTTTCACGTCAAAATTCAGGTTTAAAACACGAAACGCATAGCAAGTGCCTTTATGGAAACCGCTATTGACCTCTGAGAATTTAAGTCAATTAGAGCAAATAAGTTAAAATAGTTATCATGACTTATAATAACGGGCTAAGGATGTTTACGTGACTTTGTGTGTGTGTGTGTGTGTCTGTTACGAAATTCGTGAAGCGTGTTCCAGCCAGCGTTCTTCGTTCAAGCCCAAATTTTGTATAGCGCATGCTACCTCTATGAAAGTCCAACATGCAAAAGCACGAGTAGATTGGTTGAGTGGATCCCTCAAAAATTGCGCGCCAAACGGATCCACCTGGCTTCTACCACAAAATTCGGTCCCTATCACCACTTTTTGCGGAGTCGTGGATGAGTTTGGTAAGCAAATGTGCAAGCGATGAAGTTTAGCCAGAAAAGTGGTCGAAAGTTTACTACATAACGAAAACAGCGCCAAAACGAATTGGTTATGTTAGTGATCAATTTGCCAAGGTTCTAGCTAAGCGTTAAAGAAGATTTTCGCACAGAGATGTACCTCACGGTTACTATTACCTTTATGGCGACTACCAAGCCATGACAAATCCAAAAACCTATTCAAGTTTGCGTTTGCCTTCCTGCAAAAAGTTTCATCCACGCGAAATCACCGATCTCACGTGAAAAGACTCTCTAAATGAGTGGTTGTTTACATTTTATTCGTGGTAGTCGGCATAGCGCGGTTCCAGTGCCACGATTTTACGAGAATGAGTAGAGCACATAGATAGTACAGCCAGTGCGAACCTCTGCAAAGCAGAGGAGACGCACGTCATCTATATCGTGTAAGCATTCTCAAGGTCTATAACAGTCAGTGCGGGCTTTTCTGAGAAAATATGTATGCGCATATCTTTTCTTTGGGGAACAAAGGAGTTTAACCGCCTTTCTGGTACTATAGGGTGACTGTGCGCATAACTGATAATCTTGCCAAAACTTGTTATAGCATTGACTTGATTTGCGTAATACAGTCAGGGACACATGAAAAAGTGCATGAGATCTCCGTCATAGTAAAAACTGATAGTATATACCTCTATGTCTGGCGTATGCTTCGACAGTGGTTGAGGTGGCATTGTGGTAACAATTGTAAGGCAATGCTCAGTTTGTTGTCCTTTCGTGAAGCACCTAAACAACGCAGGTGATGATATGGTATTTTTGTCATAGATGTTTAAGTACAACCCGAATTCATGTTGTTCTCTCCTAATGTTGTGTTACTTATGCAGCTATAGCATTGACAAGATGGTTTTTGTTTAATGAGCGTTTCCCTTACTCGCGGCAAAGACTAACATTCATATCAACAACAAAAGCAGCATGCATGTGTTGAATTCTTTGTATTTTCATTCCTAACCCTGTCGATTCATGTTGAACGGAAACGTGTTAAAGATCTTCATTTACTGTTGAGTTTGTAGGCGTGTAATTGGAACACCATGCGAGCGGTCGTAGCGAGAGACCATAAGCAATCGCTTTCTTGCAAAAAATCTCTTCACCAATTTTCTTCAACCATGCAGAGCATGTTTTAAACAAAAAGTGTTTTAAGAGCCTATGAAAAGACGCCTGGAGAAGATGCACACTCACTATGAAATCTATAGTGGTTTGGAAGCATCCAACTTCTGCGATGGTTTGCGCGGCGATTGCTTCCAACAGCGAGACGTTGCTGATTTTGGTGTCTTAAGGACCGGGGATGCTTCACGCGATTTGGCAATATTCCAACTGTCCATAACTCACTGTAAGCACATTTTGAATGTACAGAAGAAAGGGCATTTTATCAATCCATGTAAGTTATACATACTGTGCATATGCAGTTTGCTAGTGTTGCATCTGAATACTTTTGGCGATTCGCCAAATCGCGTCGCGACTGAAATCGCGTGAAGTATGCCCAGCCCTTTAGGCCTCGGGCAGAGTTCACGCAATTCCATCGTCGCGATTCGTTGCGACAGACAAGTGTTACGAGTTCATTGCATGCAGATCTTCTTGCATTTTGGCTGTGATAGTTTTCCAACCAAACTAATCGTACTAACTAACACGACAGAAATACAAAAAGAATGGCTTGCAGTGATAGTGTTATAGTTGTCTAGTCGCGATCAAATGGCAACGAATTTGCGTGAACTCTGCCCTAGGCCTTAGGCCCCGGAAAGACGTCACGCGACTCAATCGTCGCGATCTAATCGCCAAGATTTCCATTTATTTTCACTTCACATTCAAAAATTTCAAGCTGGAAAAGTATCACAACCGAATGCAAGTTGATCGGCATGGAATGATGTTGTAACAGTTGTCTCGTCGCGATTCAGTCGCGACGAGCAAATCGCGTGAAGTCTGCCCGAGGGCTTAGGGTATCAAGATAGACTCTGCTACGCTTGTGGATAGCATCCTGAAGAAAGAATTGTTGGCCTGGACCAATATCCTTTTGTCGGGAGCCTTTTGCTCTCAGCAGGCTAGCGCACCTGCGCACAAAGCGAAGATTGTTCAAGCATGGCTCCAAAGCAACGCTGGACTTCATTACTCCTGATGGCCTCCGTAGTGGCCGGATCGGAATATCCTCGGCTACAGCTTGTGATCAGTTCTTTAGCTTAAAGCCTGCGCTCACCTACGCAAGACTGTAGAGTCTTTGTGTCGTGATCTCCAAAATGCGTGAGAGGAGATTGACGTGGCACCTCCGGGCCACCATGAACGCTTTCCCAAGCGTTTCCAAGTTTGTGTCCGCATCAAGGGATGGAACTTTGATTGTAAAGCCAATTTTATGTAACAGACAAGTAAACATAATTTATTTCATGTGATCATCTTGTCTAGCTTCGTCATTACGATAATAAATACCGTGTTCAAGACTTTCCCCAACCTTGTAGTTTTTACAACCAGTTTGAGGCTTACAGTCGTTGGTTTTGGCAATCAATATGAGACCGTGCAAAGTGAAGCTAGTTTGAGAGTAGAGTAGTCTAATTTGTAAGGGTTGGGCAAAACTGCGCGGCGTACGCTGCTTCGCGACGCACGCAGCGTACACACTCCCCCCCCCCCAAAATTTTATGGACGTGCGGTGCGTAGGCTGCGTGCGTTGCATAAGTCGCGCAGTCTGGCTCGTCTCTAAAGGCAATAGTAGATAGTAGGCGATAGAAATAGGAACTACCAGAAAAATATCGACTTATTTTCGATATGCGGTGTTCCAGCAAGAGGAACGTTGTGTGCCTGTTTGCTTTCTTCTTTTGAAAACCTGGCAGCAATTACGCGGAGATTCGACTGCCATGATCACAAAGTAAGGTTTCTATGCGGCTGCTGCCATTTTCAAGGAGTATTGCACTTCTTAAAAAAATGCATCGAACACACAATATGACCAGCGATTTTTTGCCTGTTTTACTGACGACCGACCGTCTCCGATGTTTGGCGACCGCTCATGGCTGATACTGGATTGCCATGTCATCCTTGTTTGATCGGCGACTTGACTTCGGCGGCATTCGCGACTGCTAATATCGGTAGTAATTATCGCCAGATTTGAGCAAAAGATCAACAGAAGTCTTTCATCCCCCGCCCACCTGGAAGCCTCGAAACGATTCCCTCTTCCTTCTCCTAACCTTCGAAACCTCAGATTGCGAATTTCAGGAGCTATTATCCTCTCTTAAAGTTTTTTTAATTTTTGAAGCCTGTACGCCCAATTTTTCTGGGCCCAGGGCTCGGCATGAGGTGGCTTTCTCAATTTTTCAAAAAGAGTTCTTCATAAAGTTTGCCTCAAAACACGACATCACCTATGACGCGATCATGAATGGATCAAAAAGAATAACGAAAAATAATGAAACAAAACATAAAAGCAACATTGAACGGATGAAAAAGAACTAAAGATTTTTGTATTTCCGAATTGGCGGCATGCTGTGTCCGGCGCGCACCGTTGCGCGCTTGGAGCGGGCTTGCCACCGCCGGGGGTACAAAAATTCAAAAACTCAGTTGTATGGTCCTTGATATCGAACAAAGTTATGTAAAGCATGTGAAAAAATAATTTGGAGGAAGGAAAATTTATGACTTTTTTGAAGCCACCTATAAATCCGAAAAAGTTTGCCACGCCTCCAGTCCTCATAATTTTTTCATAATTTTTCGTACATAGTCCTAATTCTCTATTGCCCATCTTCACGCCAATTTTGGTGTCATTTCATTTTCTGTTCGCTGTAAACAAGTCTTTTGTTTATTTTAAGGCAGATTTGAATTAACGCGCTCAATTGGGAAACCTCTCGAAACAAGAATTTTTTGGTTTTTGCAGGAATGGGATCGATAAGGCAGGAATGACAACTTTTGTCCTTTAGAAGCTGAAAGATGACATAAAGGGAGAAGGCGATTGTGTATGTGTGTGTGTGGGGGGGGGGGGAGGAAAGGGGCCGCTTAAAGGATTCCTCTTGCTTTTTATTCCGAAACAATGCCCAGCTTGCCTCAAGCCACCTGTGCCAAGCCTTGGTCAACCCTGGCGATCGCCAATATTGGCGACTGATTTCGGCGAGGACATTAAGATACACATCCATTGGACAAGAAAAGCATAGCAGTGATCATAGCTATATTTAGGCGCGCTCGCCAACATTGGTGATCAGCGATCAGGGAGACATCACCTGCAATATTTCAGCGCTTTTCTCAATTTCTAAATTATGTTTTTATCGAAATGTAATCATCTACCCTAGCTCGCACTAAGCGTTTTCAAATTATTTTTGCTTGACGGACAAATGACGTGACTTTGCGCACTACATCATGAAGGATCTTATCTAAATCATTTTCAGCCCAACGGTAAAAAGCGCTTAGTGCGAGCTATCGCAGCATGCGTCTTGCAGTGATGTGAAGTTTACCGCATATTATTGAAAGGAAACAATTTTATAACGGCTCATGCTTTCTTAGGAAATCGGAGCACACTAGATAATAAGCAGCGGCCTTTACTACTGCGGCTGGGCTTGCGCTTCCATGGGCCAGCCGGAGAACCGCTACAGTAAGACTGGGTTTTCATACAGATCCGTAAGTTCCGAAGCACTTCCAGCACAGCGCTCGAACTGTATGCCATGATGGAACTGCCCCGGAACTTATTTATCGGTATGAACCCGGCCCAAATCAAGAGCCTCGGTTGGCTGCCGCATGAGTTGGAGCCCTCGATTCGCTTAATGTACTTTAGTGTTATTCACCAAGGACCACAGGAGGTTGTACTACAGCGGGTAAAGCGCTTTATTTACTACATTGATTTTAGGCAAGTCTGTGCCAGCTGCAAATACCGGCCATAGTGAGCCCGCAGTAGTGAATTAGGGGCCGCAGCTCGTCAATGCCATGTCTGAGCAGTGTAGATAAAGCTCACCGTTAGCTTGACTACAATTCGCAAACTATCGGAGGCAAAGTAAAGTATAAAATAAACTAATGCTATCCTTTTTTCATCAAGCAACAATGTTATTATTATGGTGGATTACTGATGATAACGATAAGCTTATCTTCATACTTTGATGAATACTTGCTGCATTAAAAATGCTGAGTGGTTGTCCCTGGTACATTTGAGTTCCAGCTGAATCGAAAGTGCTTTCCACCATTTTTGTCTTCTCTTACTGATTATTGGTGCGTAAAAGGATAAAACCAGGCAAAGATTCAAACAGTTTTCAGTATATGGGAATGCGAAATATTTACTGAGTAAGACCTCTCTGAAAGGATCATAAAGTTAGTTTGGGTTTGAAACTTGCAGTTCTGAACAAGCCAAGACACGCAAGAGGTAGCTACAGTTGAATCATGCTCATTTGCAGCTGCAATACATTGCCAATCATTGAGTCCCCTTCCCCCCCCCCCCAAGTACCATAAACCTAATTTTAGCTATCCACTGCTATTTGATATTTGATATTTGATATTAATTGCACATAAGTGCGCCATTTCAATCATAATGCTTCAAGTATAGACTATAAAAACAAAAAATCCAGTAGAATAGAGAAAAAAGATGTTGGAACAGAAATAATAGGAAGAAGAACGTCAAAACATCAAGAAAAATCGACATATTTTAACCGCAACAATATGGCATCACGTAGTTTAGGCCAATCTGGATAAAAGTGTGATGAAGGCTTGTATTTGACTGCTCCATGATTATAAC